CTGACTAAGCTGAATACGCACTCGAGCAAAATCATGTTTGCTCAGAAATCGTGCCCTTACTACGTTGGTATAATCTCGAATTTCTTTTTGTTCTTCCCTAGGTATTCCAAACATCAGATCGCAAGGTAACCTGAGTTCCCTTTCAAAAACGATTCTAGCTGGACTTTCACCTGTTAACTCGTGAACAGCTGCTCTGTAAGCCATTAAAAATAGAGGCACGTGTTTGTCTCAATCTCGCTGGTTCTTTTCGACCATTTTTGTCAGACTCAGGTGCTCCTGTATAGTCTTATTAAATCGTTCTACCATGCCATCAGACTGTGGATGTAAAGGTGTTGTCCTTATCTCCCGAATTCCCCTGATCTCCCAAATTTTCTTAAAGATGGTAGATTCAAAATTTCGTCCATCAGAATGTAGCTCTAGTGGCTCCATGACGAACAAAAACTTCGTCCACTAGCATCTGGGCAATGGTGATGGCTTCTTGATTGGGAATAGCGAAAACTTCTGGCCATTTACTGAAGTAATCGATGATAACCAAGATGTATTTGGTCCCGCAATATCAATCGCTATTCTTTTAAATGGGAGACCGACGTTGTACTGTTTCATGGTCCCCCGAGATCTTAGTTTAGGGCCTTTACTGGTAGCACAGTTGTCGCACTTTCGGCACCAGTTTTTAACGTCTTCATGATAGTGAACCCAGTAAAAACGTTCCCGAATTTAGTCCAAAGTCTTGTTAACTCCAAAATGTGCCCCTGAATACATACATGTTCTACTTCATCTTTTGGAATAACCAGTTGGCTCTTAGTGGATTTCCCACGGCACTTTCCCAAACTCTTCTAAGTAAACCATTTTCTACGGCCAGAGAGTTCCACTGAGCCCGGAACGCCTTGTAAATCAAACTCTTGTTCGACACTTCCCTACATTCTGGCCTACGTTCATCATTTTCTTTAAGATGTAGAAATTGCCCGATTTCCTGGTTTGCTTCTTGATCTTTTCTCATTTGTTTGGTAGTCCATTTATCATGAACGATAAGACCCGTTTTCCTCATAGCTGGACCAGTATTTTTCTCATGCATATCGATTCTTTGACAATGCTTGCAGTCTTCCTTACATGGCCGTCTAGACAGAGCGTCAGTATTTTTATGCAGTTTTCCAGGTCGATGTTCAATTTGGAAATCATATTGCTGCAATTTCTAAATCCATCTAGCAAGCTGTCCTTTGGGAGTTTTCATTTCTAGAAGCCCGCTACAACACTGTTGCTAGCATCTGTGTCCAAAATCAACATCCCACTTCTGACTTCAATGCCACGGCTCTGGGGTGCGTGACAGAAATCTTGTGTCCGTTTATTTCAAAATCAAAGTCCAATAGGGATGTTCACTATTTTTCAATTGTAATAAAAAGTGGTGGTTTTAGGTCCACAAAACACGTATTAAGCGTTAAAACATCTAGAAACCCTTTTTTTTTCTGATAAATCGAAAACAAAAAAACGAAATTAGCGAGGCTAGCAAAACGACCCCCTGCGGCGAGAGAACCACTTGTGACGTCACTGTGCGGAACGAAAAATCAGCTGGCGCGTTGGCGAGATTTGTCTACAAGTTTACATTGGATTTATTGTGTTGCTGACTGTTGCTTTATCCCAAGAAGCTTCATTCACTCCAATTATCTGTGTTTTTGTAATGATGAGAGACTCAAACAAAGTTGAACCGAGTCGAAAAGAGTGGTATCTACGTGCAGTGTTGCCAGATGAATTTAAAAAAATTCGTGAGAATCGAGGAAGAAAAATCGTGAGACTAAAAATTGCTTAATATTGTAAGAAAATAAAGCACAACAATGTTTTTTCATAGATTTTTGATAAAGTAAACATGATTTTACATCCATAAGAAATAAACATTTTATTATTAAATCTTGTATCCTTGTTTTTTCTGTTTTTTAGCAGGTGTTTCTGAGAGCTGAACCTCGTTTTCACTATCCGTAGGATTGCTCATCCTAATAAGGCGTCAATTCTCGAGGCGGCAGCTGGCCTGCGAGTGACGTCACCACTATCAGCAACTGATAGTGGTGACGTCATCCGCAGACCTCGATGGATTGTTTGCAATTCAGGCTGTGCTTGTGAGTTGATTTTTCTGGGAATTTTGAATTTAGAAAAGGTGATTTCACGTTTATGAATCCGTTTTTTGGACTCGGATAATGCATTTTCCTTCAAAAGTTGAGGTCTACAGCTGACGTCACAGATAGTGGGGTTTCGTGGACTTGGCAAACACTTTCAGCTCAATAAGCAGTCCTATATTACGTATAAGTGTTCAGGCGCACATGTACCAGGAGCGGCGTAACATAACTAAATATTGTATAGTAGATTTTTATTTCGATTATTCTCGATTACATTATATTTGATTAGTGATTGATTTCCTACAGAGAGAATTCGTGAGAATTGCTACCTCAGTCGTGAAATCGTGAAATTCTGACCAAAATCGTGTAATCTTACGAATAATCGTGAGATTTGGCAACATTGTCTACGTGCGTGAAGACGCGTTTTTCACACGCTCATAGAAAAAATGGGCCTGACACGAGCATAAAGTATGTTTTCCGCACTTGCGGCTTGCACGAAGTCCGCTGGCTCGTCGTTCGTGCAAATGCCGGCCGTTGCGTGCGGGAAAGTATAACTTTCCGCCCTTGATTACAGGTGAATAACTATATATCATTGTTCAAATGCAAGTATACCTACATCTAATAACGTCTGTTTTACTTCTACACCAATGGACTGGAGCTGATTCAAGTCGACACTTGACCCAACATTCTGATACCAAAGTAGATAACGAAATAAACAAAAAAATAATAGATAACGTCCACAGTTGGCAGATTATGTGAATCGGCCTTTTGAAAACCTTCCTTCATTTTAGCCATAGTACCTTTTCTACCTTAATTTCGATAAACCCTATAACACAGAGATCGACATGAAGGAGATAGCTGCAATATCAAAATACTTGTTAAACGTTAAACATACTCTCTCGTTAAATTAAAACCGAACCATAATAATAATAACAATAATATTAATATCAATATTCTTTATTGCCAACAAAAATCGCAAAAGCAACGTCACAAGAAGCAGAGCCAAGTAGCTAGTAACGCCAATGTACTTGCGCGTGCTAACTCATTACGCATTGTGACGTCAGACAGCGTTTCGTGCGTTTAAACGAATATCAATATTTCGTCTCCGTTTTTCTCATAGAAAGAAGTTTCTGATTTTCGTAAAATTTTGTAGATTTACTTATGAAACGATGCTTAATAATTTGATGATGGTTAAACGGAATTTTTTTACTTTGTGAACATTCCTATTAACACAACAATAATTTATTCCACGGTACTATACTCACTGACACTAATTACTTCACTAATTAACGCAAACAACTAAACTCTTTACAACTCTTAACAATAATCACTGTCTAAATCATATCACAGTCAACCTTGAACTTAAAAACTACTAACTAATACCGGCCTTTATATATCCGTAATCCATTCTTATAAAATCCAGAATAAACGCGATTATCTCTTTGCCCGAAAGGGGCAGTTTTTTCTGGAATTTAAGGCATGAATTTTGTATACGCTGGCGAAAGCGCACCGTAACAATACACTCTATATTTTCATGTGTATTCACTTCTCGATCGTTCTGGGCCCCTAAATATTGTATTTTCAAGTTACAAAATACCAAAAAACTATTAACCAAATAGGTAAACTATACACACAAGATTAAATTTTGAATGATCTCATTGCAAATTGCAAAAGGTTGTAACTATTGCTTGGTTTGACCTAAATTATATTTTTAATTTCCCAAATTTTTATTGAAACTACGCCTTAATCCACAAAATAATAAATCAGTGAACAATGAACAAACAATATAAAAAAACGGCTTACGTTCACTTTTTGGAAAATAAAAGTTTAAACGCCCTCTACCACACCTTTTGCAACGATATACCTTATATATACCTACGCAAAATTATTTGTAATTTCCATTTTTATGAAATTATATCTTTGAGATTTTTAATTGTGATTATTTTGTTCATATTTTATTACCAATTTATTTTCGTTTCTCGTTTGATATTTTTCCAAAATTCAAATAAAACCCCGTAAGCCAACTAAGCCTAATACATAAACAATTTTTACGGTTAGTGGACAACGAGAACATGCGTAAATAACCCCGTGCATTAGAATTTTGTAATCTGATTATCTCTAATTATTAGCAAGATATTTTGAAACTTTTATTATTTCTTTCCTTCGGGTTTTCAATACAATGCCCGTCTTACGTAACCGACGAGGTAACATACTAACTTGGTACTGTTCAGTACCGACAGGACAAGAATCGAATTTATTGTCTTCAGCAGGAGTACCATATATTTGCAAAGCGTAAAACGGAACTGATAGGCATATGAATTTCGTTATGCAATTTTGCGATTTATTTGATTATGATTAAGAAGTTTTTATTAGAAATTTCATGCCATACACATTTTTGACGATTTTATAATAACAGAACTGATGGTCTGAATGAAGGTAATTAGGAAATACATACATCACAAAATGATAAATATTTAATAACAAAAACGGAAAAAATCTAGAACATTAAATAACTGTACAAAGTACTACCCTTCTCATAGTTTCAACTTTATGTTATGTTATTTCATATTTTTTTTCGTTTTGATTCGTATTTATCTATTTTTAATGAATTTTGTTTGAGTTTAAAAATCAATAATTAATTTTTTCTGCATTTGAATTGCAGTTATTAATAAGCTTTTGCCCGTTAGCAAATTCTATTTATTAACTAACCTAATTTGTCCAAAAAATTTTTCACTCATAGTATTCTCATAGCGAAATATCTATATTTTTTTTTTGTGTTGTGTCGATAACTATAACATATGAAATAAAAATAAAACAAATACATTTACAAAAAAATACTTTATTTTTTTTACAAAAATAAGTTACACATAGAAAAACTTAACTTATTTGGCATTTATATAAATAAAGAACAAGGGAAACATAAAAAAATATAACAGCTCTGTTCACAGAAGAAGGAGGTAAGTATAAATTAGAAAGGAGAACACATATACAGCAAAAGTAAGAGCTACAAAAACTATTTTTAAGTTAGCTTAATAATGACACTCGTTGGAAAAATTCAACAAAAATAAGGTAAGAATCTAGAATATATACAACCATATAATATACCCTTACTTACAATAAAACAACTAAAAAAAACCTTACTGCAAAAAACTAGCAAGTCCCTGGTAACCATCAATAGAAAATTTTCCAACAAATATCATTTTTTTTTGGTCTAAGTATACCTACTCGAAAATATTTTTAGAAAAACTAATTCCTGTAGCTCAAGAAAACCAAAGAATTACTGCACACACGGTGTGAATCACTCAGATTTTTTTTCAAATTTAATGATAATCGCCATATCCGCCAGAGTATCCACCGTCGTAGTCACCACCACCGTGGCCGTATCCTTGTTCACCACCTCCATATCCATGGTCATGGACTGGTACTGCTACTGGTACTTTAACTGGGTAGGGTACTGGCTTTTCAACTGGATAAGGTACTGGTTTGGCTACTGGGTATGGTACGGGTCTGTCTACTGGTACTTTAACTGGGTAGGCTACTGGTCTTTCAACTGGGTATGGTACTTGTTTGATTACTGGGTATGGAGCTGGTACTGGTACCTATAACATTTTAGAAAGTAATATATTGTTGCCTTGTAATGTTTTAAATATTATTACCTTAACTGGGACTGGGTAAGGTCTTTCTACTGGGTATGGCACAGGTTTCTCCACGGCTACCTTAACTGGATAAGGTACGGGCTTTTCTACTGGTACTGGTACGTTCTTGACTACATGTACTGGGTAGGGTTGAGGTACATGAACTGGGTATGGTCTGTCAACGGGTACTTTAACTGGAACTGGAACTTCTTTGTACACTGGGTAGGGTTGGGGCACATGCACAGGTACTTTTACTGGATATGGGATATGTTTTTCAACTGGGTAGGGTTGTGGTACGGGTACTTTAACTGGGACGGAAACGTGTTTGATAACTGGGTAAGGTTGGGGTACCAAAACTTTAACGGGATAAGGTCTGTCAACTGGTACTTTGACGGGAACGTGGACAATTCTTTCAACTGGGTAGGGTTGTGGGACTGGAACTTTGACGTGGACTGGAACTTTGACTGGGTACGGTACGTGTTTTTCAACGGGGTAAGGTTGTGGTACTGCTACTTTGACGGGATATGGGACGTGTTTTTCTACTGGGTAAGGAATGTGTTTTTCGACTGGATACGGTACTGGTACGCCTTTTACGACTGTGATCGTTTTTTCAACGTGCGCTTGAGATCCTAAAAAGGTAAAAAAAGCAAATTATGTTTTCCTTTCATAAATTTCCATGAGTGAATGATTAGGAATATTACTCAAATTATAGAAAAAAATAGTGAGGTTTATCAAATGGATGAATTAAGGCAACTTGTTTCACTACTTCGTTGTGGTTCTCCAGTTTTCCTTTATTATGAGCAGTATTGATATGATCGACCCTTAGCTCTATTTACAATTTCACAATGAAAGATATTTTATATTTATGTGATGTATTTTGTTGTGCTGATCAACGAAAAAACCTTAATGTAAGCTTGCAAAATTGACCAGCTTGAGGCAATATAAACCAAATAATTAATCAAGCGAAACTTGCATATGAAATGTACATGAAATGATGCTAGTATTTTGAATTTTGACGAATACTCACCCAAGAAAATCGGTTCATAGTTACCATGTAAACCATTACCATAATATCCAGAATCTGTTGTGCATAAATGGAATTATTAACAAAACTTCAACCAATTGCTTTTAGAAAAAAAATGTTAAAGAATCATGCTTATTGCTTCAAAAATTTGAAATATTTTCACTGATCTATCTACTAGCTTTGCTGCTTTATTTTGAGATAGAACATGAGTCCAAGACACATCTGATCTTAAAATTTTTAGAGCCCTTCATTTATTTCAAAGTGCAAATGTGTGTTTTTTAAAAGTTACATTTAGTGCTACCTTAACCAAACATCAAAATCATTATTTACTTTTACACCTATCACGTACCTAAATCATATCCACCATAACCTCCTCCATGTCCTCCATAGGAAAGACCTCCGTAACCACCTTCTCCTACAGAATACCCATGGTCGATATCGCTACCATAGCCGTAGCCTAAGCTGAGTAATCCACGTTTAGTTTGCTTCTTCTCAGTCGATTCCTTCTTCTCCTTGGCCTCTGCGTTTACCGCCACTGCCACAAGGACTAAGATCGACAGAAGTAACTAGGAAACAAGAAATTAATACTTTAAAACTGTATTCAATCAGCTTGATTTATTTCATTGTTTGAAAAAACGTAGATTTTAGCCTATGGGAAAGATACCGTTTAATTAAATCATCATTAACAATACTGTTTTGTCTAAAATTGCAGAAGAAGAAATGAAGCAAACAAGAGACTGACAGTGTAAAATATCAGAGATTTTCAAAATCGTGCGAATTATTAAAGTGTTCTCCATATTACATGTTTTTTTTGCCATACTGTTACTTTAACGTTTAACACTATCAATATCTATCACTAGCTATCTAATCAATATCAATATTAACCGATATTATTACACCATAACCGCTTCAACTCTTAAACAGGTAATCATTTTGTTGCAATTTGCAAGTGATATTATTTTAATTACATAATTTCCTAGCAGTAATGATTAACTTTTGCAGCATATTAATCGTCTTTTAATAATCTCTTGAGCAATTATAGTTAGTTATTATTTTAACAAGCTTCAATAATTATTTTGAAAAGTTTGTTAGGAAATCTGTCTATTTTCTAATGAAGAACAGAGGATTTTGTGAGAATTTGAAAAAAAATCTGTATTAATCCCGAGAAAAAATGAATGCAAATAATGGCCTCGACAATGGCTTTTCCTCATGAAATGCGAGTAAATGAACCATAGAAAATTCTAAAAGCGATACGGTTTTTTTACTGGAACCACAAGAAATAGCAAACAGACCGATTTTTCAATGTCAGAGCTAATTTTATTAGTAAACTCTTCACAAGGACGCGGAATATAGATTTTTGTGCCATTTCTTATGATTAGTTTATTTTTTGTTTGTTTTTTTTTTTTTTAAATATTTTCCACTGCCTCATAAATAATTGTAAATCTCATATGCCTACTTGAGATTAGGCAAAATTTATGCCAATTTAACTAAAGCATTAACATTTTTATTGAATATTAAATTTTTATTTAACATATATTTAATGGTAAACTTATTTGTTATTGAATTTGTTAGCATATATTGTGTTGTGATTTTATTATGTTGTTAATGGTTATTTTAGATGATTCCATTAATTGAAAAGCAATAATTTTCCAATTAGATAAGATTTTTTTTTCAAGAAAAAAAAATCACTGAGTAATTTCAAAATAAACGAAATTTAAAGTAAGGTGAATTCTTTGATAACAAAAAAGAAACAAACAAAAATAAACTGAAACAAAAAAAACCAATCACTGAATCAAGTCACTAAAAGCACAATAGTTTGACGCACAAAAAAATATAGTCCATGGTGGCGCCTCGACAAAAAAAAAGGTAATTCACACAAAAAACCACTATTATTAACTTAATGGTACCACTCACCAATGGTTTCATCGTGATACACATACGAAGGGTTGCTTGCTAGTTCAGCAGAGAACTGAATACCAAAATTGTGCCCCCGTTGTCTTTTATACTTCTGGTCGGATGGTACCCGACGTTCGAACCGTACCGCACCACTTACCTCTTCGGCGATGGATCGCTGGTACCACCGCCGCGACGCAACGTGGGTTGATGCAAGAATTCCTGGGCTCAGCCAGGTCGGGTCTGATAATTCGAGATTTCGCGCGAACGGGATAGTGCGGGATTTCGATCAAATCAATATAACTCTTATGATATAAATGCTTCAGTTTTAGTTTGGTAAGTTTTTGTAAAGAAATATAGCAAATATGTGATAATGTTTCTAAGTTTTATGGAATACTTTAGAGTATATCTTATTCGCTATCAGTTATGATCGTGCTTGAGCTGTTCAATATTAATGAGTCCAAAAATATACCTAAGGTTCATTTCACGAAGGTTTGTACTTATGACATCGATAATGTCATAACTTGGAAAAAAGCCTTGTCGTAGATTGATTTATATAAATTCAATAACGTTTAGATTTTCTATTGTATTGAATGACTTCTGGTTTAAACCAACGAACGTTTTTGACGTCATTAATTTGTTTCAGTCAATTTTTATTTGTTAAAAAAGGAAAGCAAAAGTACAAACCCTCGTGAAACAAACAGTACATGTTTGGTTGCTTATAAAAAGGCTCTCGAGAGTTTTTTATTCTAAAATTGTTGTGTTCGCAGTTATTTGCTTGGGACCGTACCTTTTCTTGCTTATGCTGATATGTGACAGCTAACATAATGCAAAAGTTAAACTTAAATTTCAATTTAATGTAATAAAGACTCATTGATGTCATTGGGGCTTCTGATATCGTATTTAAAACCTAAACCACATAACTTAACATAACGTACGCAAACTTATAATTAACGTACGAAACTGAGAAAGTGTATGTTTACGATGAAGTTAATTTTCCTACGTGTAATCACCAATGACCTTGATAAATACAGACTAGTTCAATCTGCCTGTCATTCATAAATTGAAAATTAACATTCGGATTTCCTTAAGTTGAAGTTGGTTCAACTTTTCCGTGTGTTACCTACGTTAATTTTCTTAATTTTTAAGTGGATGTGAACAACTACATATGAATGAGTACATGATCTTCAACTTTTCTTTATTATTAATTTTCCGTACGTTAAGTTAAGTGGATGTAAATTACACTTAACTTTTACTATTAAAGACTATCTACCTATAATGTGTTGTAATTCGGATTAACTACAACAGTATTGTTATTGGAAAGATTTTATTAAATTAAACAGTAAAATACAATGGTACTGTGATACAATGACAATCAATATGACAAAAATCAAACTCACAGAACATTACATTTGCTGGTAAACGTACTTTCAGGTATATCCTGGTACTGTTTCCTAACATTTCTCCTTTTTTTTTAAATAAAATGCTCTAAATACGACGGTCTTCTTCTTAACCTTCCCGATCTTTTAACTTCACTATCTAAATTATATTCCTTCAGAACAGCTTCATTAGAACTAGCAGTATTTGCACTATGTTCTTAACAGTCAATCATTTCCTCAGTATTTGTATTGTCTGTTGTGAATTCTATTGAATTGTTATTATCTGGTATATTTTCAATGATAACTTCTTGATCTGAGCTTGGTTCTACGTTGTCTGGCAAATTAAACTCTTCTATTAAAAAATTTAATGGGATCGGAAAACTTTGATTTGGTTCTTTAACATATCTTATTTTAATTTGATTACTATGAAATCTTCTTAATATGTTGTGATTATTTGGATAAAACACTAGTATGTTGTACATCACATTGCCAATTGGTTCTATGATTTTTCCAGGAATCCAACGGAACTTGTTATTTTTGTAAATTTTAGCATAAATCAAGTCTTCTTTAAATTTGTTTGAAATTTCATTGATCTGGATATTTTTCGGAGGAAGTAACAAATGAAGTGGAATTCTGATGCTTCTTCCTAGCATATGTTCAGCCGGAGATTTTCCATCCTATGACTTCCCTCTCGTTTAATTTTTGAAAGTGCTTTTTCAAAGGTGTCAACAAACTCTTCTGCCTGACCATTTGACTGTGGGCAATATGCTGCTGTGCGAATATGTTCAAAACCATTCTTCTGGCAAAATTGTTTAAATTCGTTGCAAGTGAATTGACTGCCATTGTCTGATACAACTGCTTAAACAATTCCAAATCGTGAATATACTCCTTCTAATTTTGATATTGTAAAGTTTGACGTGAATGTTTTAGTTTCAAGAACTTCATGCCACTTTGAATAGACATCAACAATAATTAAATAATAATAATCGTTGATTGGACTAGCAAAATCTATGAGTTCGTTGCCATGGACCCTTTGGAACAGGCCATGCTACTGGAGAAATGTTTGATGGACTTCTTGAAACTTCTGCACATTCTTCGCATGTTCGCACAAAATTGATAATATCTCTGTCTATATTCGGCCAGTAAACATATCCACCTGCTATGGATTTCATTCCTTTTTGTCCAGGATGACCAGTATGTAGTGATTTTAGAAGAGAATTTCGAAATTTCAATGGTATTACTATTCTGTCTCCAAACATCAGACAACCTTTAACAACGAATAATGAGTCTCGTCTATAATCAAAATTGAGTGCATAATTTTCAATATCCTTCTTGTTTGTTGGCCAATCATTCTGTACATTGAATAACTTTAGAATAAAGTTTGTCCTGTTGAATTTCTTGATGAATCATCTTAAAGGTAATTGGCAAATTTTCTGAAACTTCATCAAATACAGTGTGATTTTTTAAGTGTGCAACATATGGGAATTTTTTTTAGTAATAGCACAACCCAAATACAAACAAGGCCAAAAGTTGGTGCATGTCTGATAATCATATTAGGTGCATTTAGAATTGTTGCAAGTCAAACAGCATACAGGGTAGGTCAAACAATATCAAAATTATACTGTGAAGTACCCTTATTTTAGAAAATTCAGCAAAATGTTATGGAGAAAAGTTGTTTGGAATTAAAAGTTATGCCTAAATACCAAAACATAGCCTCCTAAAAAAAAATATTTTTTTTTTTTCGAAAAAAATCTATAATTTCCATATTTTTTTTTATTTTTTATTTCCGCCCTTAATAGTTTAAAAAATTAATTAAAATCAAATCAATTTTACATAACTTTGTTCAAAATCAAGCATATTTGTAAAATTAACTTTTAATTTTTTATGGAATCACAAAATTCATGTTTTTTGCAATGATATTCAACACAACTTTAAAATGTCGCAATTTTTTTTTTTTACATGTTAAAACATTGGTAATGATAATAGCCATATTAAAAAAACTCTCCTTAAAGTGCAAAAGTTTAATTTTATTTAAATAAATATTACTACAATTTTGATATTTTTTGAGCTACCCTGTATGCTGTTTGACTTGCAACCATTCTAAGTGCACCTAATATGATTATCAGACATGCACCAACTTTTGGCCTTGTTTGTATTTTGATTGTGCTATTACTAAAAAAAAATCCCATATGTTGCACACTTAAGTAATGACACTGTATATGACAAACTTCTGATTCGATGTTGATCTGAGCAATCAAATATTCGTCATCATTTAATTGTGTCTGAATAACCAATCTTGACAAAATAGCTGCGTGACCAAAATCGCTAGTTTTAATATATCTTATCTTGAAGTCATATGCTTTGAGAACTAATGCCCTTCTTTGAAGTCGATTTGCAGTATGAATTGAAATTTCTTTCTTTGAACCGAAAATAGTCGAAAGAAGTTTATGATCTGTTTGTAAAGTGAAATTTCGACCATAAATCATCCTGTGAAATTTTGTGACAGCAAATATTAAAGCCAATTCCTTCCCTCCTTCTCTATTTGACTGTATCTCTTTTCTGTTTCAGTAAGAGTTCTAGATCCGTGCCATATAGGTTTGATAGTAGGTACCATTTTTAAATCTGTGTAAAATATAGGCTCCTATTCCAGTGATACTTCCGTCGCCCACTACAATGATTTTCTAAACTGGCTTGCAGTTGGTTAGACTTAGATCCGACTTTGAAATTTTCTAAAATTTTTCAAACGATTCTTGACATTCTGTTGTCCATAAAAATTTGATTCCTTTTTTTAATAACTCGTTGTATTTCTTTGATAAGTTTACCATTAATGGCTTATTGTTCCAAGATAGGAACGTAGAGTGTTAATATCATGGGGCGGTGGCATATTTCTGATTCTGATTGTTTTTGCTGGATCTGGTTTCAACTCACCTTCACTTAAAATCTATCCCAAATACTTAATTTCTCTGACTCTTAATTCACTTTTTTGAAATTTCAAGTGAAAACCAAACTCTTCTATACGCCTTAGGATAAGATTTAAATTTTAAAAATGTTCTTCCTCTGATTGGCCTGATACTGAAATGTCATCGATATATGCCGTCGTTCCTTCCAGACCTGATAACATGGTATCCATAACTTGTTGAAAAATGGCTGGGAAAACTTTTATACCAAATGGCATTCTATTGTATTGAAACAATCCATGATGAGTGTTTATTGTTAAATATTTTATTGATTCTTCACTGATTTCAGTTTGAAGGAAAGCATCAGAAAGGTCAAGGGTACTAAAAATTGTAGCATTTTGTAATTTTGGTCAACTTTATCCATGACTGAATAAGCTACTGGTCTTTTTGCTTTGAAAATAGGAACTGCATCTTCTTTTATATGAAGATTAACTTTGTTTTTTTTTTTACAGTGACCGAATGTTTCTTGAAAAACTTTAGGAAAGGCTAATTATAATGGTTCTGTATTGACTGAAAATTATTTTGATTTAACAACATTGCAGACTGAATTGAATGGTACCTACGTTCCATATACCAAATTTTGTGATCCAATGTATACCCAGTAAATTGAGATTAGGCACCTATTGAAGTGATGAAACATTTACCATGAATACTATTTTGTTTGAAGCTTATTGTACTTTGAAATTCTGCTCTTAATAGTTATTTATACACCAAGTGAGTTAAAAAAATCGAAGTCTTACTTTTGCGGGGCCTGAAATATTTTTAATGAAGAATGAAAAAGTTTG